ATCACAAGATGCAAGCTCAATAAGGTAGTCGGCATGTGAAGAAGCTACGACATGAAGTGCACATACAGCGACTAGTCGACAGTCAGCAGCAATGTCGCGGAATCCCATCAATATCACTATAACATGAACGTATGAATAGGGGTACCCTCGACCAAAATAATCGGAGCCATAGTTGTGGTAAACATTCCTAATGAGTCTTTCGTTTAAAGATAATTTTGTGTTCATATGTATGGAAAAGGGACTAGCCAAAAAGTAAACAACTATTTCAAAGAAGGGTCTCAAAGGCTATTTTCCGCGATATACTTAAGAAGCCTCAGTTGAAAGTTTATCGCCCACCAATCGAATGTCCCTTTGAATCGAAGTTGTTGTACCATAAGAAAGAAGCAGTCAAATTAGCGAGGTTCCCAAAGACACACCATTCTAGCTGGTTACGAGATAAGGAATGCTACTCAATTAGAAACGATAGAATGAAGGGAAGAGAACTGATCGAGGAGGTCAAGCAGCCAACTTAGCAGGCCTTAGAGTGATATTACGGAAACCCACCATCTTTAGGACTTCGTTCAAGGGCCTCAACGAAATCGTTAGGAATTTCATCATCTTGAATGTCTGCAACTGACAGGATGACCTCGGAGCGTACAGCAGTCACCTAAAGCAAAGATTGGAATTCAACGACAGAATGACACAGAGAATTACCAAACCTTATCGAGTTGACGTTCAAGTAAAATCGAATACAACTTCCGCTTGATATCAATTGACATTACGCTTTCTTCAGTGGCACTGCCGCCATCCTGCTCTTTGAGCAAAAATCCTACCAATGTGCAGATATTCTGACGAACAGCAACATCGTCACAACAAGACAACTGAAATAGGTTTAGTTGTTCTCAAACTGCTAACTCGGTCGTATGGCAATTGGAAGTCACTCACAGATTCACAATATTCCACTAAACAATGGAGGAAATCAGATACTCCCCTCTTCCATTGGTTTATGGAAAACTTCGCTATGAAACGCAAAACTCTTCTCCGCTTATCCAGAGATACTAAAGATTCTACCTGGAAAAAATAAACAGTAAAAGGCAATAACCAAGCTCATTATAAAGTATCACCCACCATATAAGAAAGCCTGTGTTGGAGTTTTTCAAAAAATATTCTTTTCAGGCTTTGCTCACCAGACGCATTTTCTTCTTCTACCTGAATGAACGGTTCAATCGGAAGGTCAAATTAAGACTTTCTTGGTTAACCCACCTTGTTAAAAGCAGCTAACAAAATTTCAGATGAATATTTGCTCCCTGATGCTTCACATATCGAATTATAGGCCGTTTCAAATGTGTCGCTGATCTTCTCTCTGCAGAAAACCAACAAGTTGGACTAAGGAAAAGGAAAACGTGAAGAGCCTCGCTCATTTCTCTATCCCTGCTTCGAAAATGGTTCCCTTTCCAGGACGACTCAAAATTTCAAAGGCACACGATTTTCTAGGCTTGAAGTCGTTGTGTAGGGTACCCTTTCGCTCGATTTACATATGGTAACAGTGAAAGCACTGTTTTCTCGCCGGCTCAGGCTTTTGAGGTTCACCTGAATACAAAATATTCTAGTTTCTTACTCCAAATACGCAATAATGTTAGTCTCATTTG